CATCAGCAGTTAGTCTGCGGATGCGAGGTTGTTAGAGCTTCGATGTGAGATGTAGTTACGGTGGATGGGCATGGGACTGGGACTGACCCACCTGGGATTGATGCAGAGGGGCCGGTTAGAGTGCTAGAGAGGGTGGAGAGTTGGAGTGTGAGATGGTTGAGAGTGGGTAGGATGGGTTGCGGTCCCGCGTTGTCGTCCGAAGCGTGAGGAATTGGAGTGTTGGGGATGCCTAAGGCTGCTTCAAGTAGGGTAAGGCGGGCATCGAAGGCGGCAGCATTAGAGAGGAGGCCAGCAGGAACGTTGGATTGGGGTCCATGTAACATTTCATTTCGTTGTTTCGCGGCGTGTACGGTGGGAGGGATGCTTCCTCCTAGTTTTTGTGAGAGTATCTCCTCCGCAGTAAAATGTACCGAACCGCTTCTTGAGTAGGTATGGAGGCTGTCCAGCACCCGACTTAGCTCCAACACGCCACTGTCCAGGGCATCTTGGTCACCGTCAACTGAATCTCCAGCACTAGGGGCTTGCGTATCACGGTGGGAGGCCTTTCGAGTAGTCAATTCTTCTTTTAACTCATCCGCCTCTCTGCGGAGCCTGGCCAATTTTCGTTCCAGAGACTCATCCTCTTCGTCGCTGACATCTCCTAGTACTTCGGTTCCATCTTCCCGCCGCTGTCTCCGGTGGCTCATGGCCTTGTACGACTTCCTTTTGGAGGCAATGCTATCTGAAAAGTCCACACCGCGAGCATCCAAATGGGATGAGAGGAAGTGTGATCGGGCCAGGTCTGGCTGAAGCCGTTGGCGGTCGATTTCCGGATTAGATGATTCATCTTGGAAAGGGGACGGGGAGCGAACTGTCGCAGTCTGTAAACTGGTTAGATCGGACTTTTAAAGCTGAGAGAATAGGGGGAAGTGGGTTTGCTTACAGCCAGAGTAGAACCGTCAGTGAGTTCAGGAGTCTCATAGATATCTGGAGCCAGATCCTGGTTGGAGGCGAGAAGAAATGAAGTATGGTTAGCAAAGGCAAGCAAAGCTTATATAGGAGGATGCGGAGAGCTGGATATCGCACCAGATCAGGAAGGCCGGCATATTTCTTGTTGAAGGCCATTGCTGCATGCAAACATATCCTTTTAGCTATTGGGAGCCTCCTCCGCCCGTGCTTGGAGATACTCCGTTGGTATTCGTGTCTACTCCAGCTCCGGCTGTTGTTGTTTAGTTGATGTTGATGTTGCTTTAGCTGGTATCGTCATAGTCACGTGGGTAGCACAATTTATGTGCAATGTATATAAGCCTTAGCTGGTTAGTTATTTATCATCTATCTAGTGGCGAGCTAATATCAATATACAACCTGAGCTCAAATATATTTCCAAGATCAATCACTGAATAAAATGATGTCGTCGACTTCAGAAAACTCTTCTTTAATAAATATTCAACAGCTTACTATGGATCTGTTACAAAGAGAAAGGATAGTTGAGTATCATAATATCTCAGAGTCCACAGTGAAAGAGTTTCTTGAACTTTCTGACTGTAAAAATCTGAAGTAAATCTCTTTATTCATCTAGTTAGTTATAATACTTATTATTAGCTAATACTAATTATAGACTGTCATGTAATCCACGGACTAAGACAGTTAAGATTGTTATGCCTACCTGGATCCACAGTGGTTGTCTAAACTGGATTCAAAATTGGATTGCAGATTTTAGAAGATTGGAGCAGTGGGATCAAAGAACTATATATATCAGCTGCTGGAAAAGGAGAGTTGAAAGTATTTGCTGGAGAATATGCAAATAGGTGAGTTTATATTTCTGTTAATTTTCTTATTACTCTTTATACTAAAGTATTACTAGCTCTACTTTAGAATCGTAATACCAGACTATGCTATTTTCGTTTCTACTGTCAAATACCCCACGATAGCAATGGAGATTGCATATACCGAGACCTACGAGGATCTGAAAAAACACGCCCGTCTCTTACTTGAAGGGACAGCAGGATAGATTTCAATTGCTATTCTCGTAAAGATAGTGCCTCTCAGATTAGATGAAAGTCATATTCAATCTGCATTTGTACAGCTCTATGAATACAGCTCTACACAAAACAGAGCTATTCCTAGAGGAGGCCGCAAGGTATTTTGATAATCTTTTTGAATTTATTATAAAGTTATACTAACCTATAATTTTCTAGACGCTCTTTCCAGTACCCAACAATCATGCCCGTCAGAAGATTGAATTTTCGTGGGAAGATATTCTAAAATCTCAGCTTCCACAAATACAACTATTCGATTGCGCGACGACGAAGATCGGCTTAATTGATCATTTTGTTATACAATCTGTGAGTATACATGATAATGTTGTTGAATGTTTTTACAAGTTTATTTTTATTCTGTGAAATTGGACTGACTGTAATTGAAGCGACAATGGAAAGCCCGTTCAAAACTAAGTTCGAACTTAAGCGCTCCATCGATAAAAAACTGAGGGATTCAAGAGCGAAAAGTGCTGGCGAGATGGTGATTGTTATTCGATATGAAACTGAGGAGGCGATGAGGATTATTTTCGGGATAGGCTGGGGGAGGCGCTGATTGATTATTGAGAAGTAATTCATGTTTAAATTGTGAGGGGTATAAATGATACCAAAAAGCATGTTTTCTACGACTGTATTTTTATTCTTTAGAATCGAGTGATGGTAGTTGAGAGTGGTTCACTGTGGAAGAGAAGTAAATGAAACTTATCATTATATCTTTTTAATATATGTCTTGAATTCTGTTATGATTAAATTGATGCAGAATCGCAGATTATATTCATGACTTCTTACCTTATATGATTGAACTAGTATCAGTATCAGAGATAATATTGTAAACGCTTATATATTAGAGATTTTATAACTATTATAGTTATCTCACTTCTCGAAATCTAAGTACCGTCTCACTTATACTAGGGGCAGCCTGCCCCTAGCAACCCCCTTCAGGGGTGGGCAAACGAACCTCTAAGTCCCGGGGAATGGAAGGCATCTTTAATTGCTTCAAAGGGTGGACATCTCAGGCACAACATTGTATAGCAGGAGCTTCATGAAACATGCAGCTGGGCAGGACGGAACAGAAGTACGACGTCATATTGATATCATCGCTGGATATCATTCATTCAAGCAGGTGAGCAGATCAATCGGCAGGTAGGCGGGTAGCTAGATGATGATGTTTATTCTCATAGAGATTGATGGGATATTGAGCAGCCATGCTGGTTGGAAGGTAGGGAGTAGGTTGGCAGGCAAGTTGACAGACAGATAGATAATTCAGAGGTAAGAATATTAAAAAAGTCCAGTCTCCACTGCATGAAAGTGGAGATTTTCAAGCATTTTGATCAATCAGAGATTCAGAAATCTTCTCTAAGCCAATAAAATCATTAATGAAGCATCTTTTGAGCCCTGAGCTTTGTATGATTCTTAGAGACTTCGCTTCGATGATTCATTTCATACCACACCAAGAAATGGATTGGGGCCAAACCAAACCAAACCATATATGTAGTTCATGATCCCACCGGCTGGCCTAACTATGATAGTTCCACTTATCCAGCCCAGCGCGGTTGCGATTGTTTTAGCATGTTCGCCTGCGATTCCTGTGGTGGATCGTATGTTGCCGCTGCTTGCTGTGTCATGGCAACCTCCGAGGCTCAGGCCTCTGAACAGCGCTCTGTAGTTACCCGTATTAAATATCTAAAGATCCCGATCGCTTCGTCTTGTTTGCTGTTTCTCTATTTTCTTTTGGTCCTCCGATTTGAAATTGCTGCTTGTTTCTATATACCAGTATAAACTCACGCCCCCCGCGCCACTCTCCAACCGCCTCAAACCATAACTCACACGCGTTTTCCCACAATGGCTGCTCCAGCTGAAGTCACCGTCCATGACCTCAATGGCACCTGGGTCATGGTGAGAATTTCCATATGTCACCTCAATCACAGGAACAGAAGTTAAAAATCAAAGTAGAATAAAATAACTAACAGGAAATAAAAGGCCTTCCCAAGGACTCATCTCTCTCCAATGACCCCGACGCCATCTTCAAGCTGGTTAGGCCGCCCTCCTTATTCTCTTTATCACATGCGAAACGCACCAAGGAAGAGAAGAACAAAAAAAAAAAAAAAAAAAAAAAAAACCCCAACCAAATCTGACAAACCTGACAAACCCACCCAACACAGCAAGGCATGTCCTGGCTAACGCGCAAAGCCATCGGCCTCGCCACTGTAACGCTAAAAATATCCCAAAAGACAACCGACGCCGGTGTCGTCGAGCTCACCATCGACCAGGTCCTCACAGGCGGCGTCAGAGGCACCTCCGAGCTCCGTGTCCTCGACTGGTCCGAGCGACCCCACCAGGACCACATCTTCGGCAGCCTCACCGGCCAGAGCCGATTCTGCAAAGCAGACGCTTCTGCTTCTGCTTCTGCTTCTGCTGGTGATTCGGACGGAAAGCGACAGCCCACCGTCGACGTGCAGACAAAAGCGGGCAGCGCGGCGGAGGACGTTGCTGTGGCCGAGTTCCTGCGCGGGGAGACCTTGGCGGATGGAGAGCCGGCGGACGGGTTCGCGATTGACGGGGCGAATGAGGACCTTTTGCAGAGCTGGGTGCGGAGTCTGGACAATGGGTGGACGGCTGAGCAGGTGGGGCTGCTTTTCTTTTTGTTTTTTAAATTTTTTTTTTTTTTTTTTTTTTTTTTTTTTTTTTTTTAAAACCTCCCTCCTCCCCTCCCTTTCTCCCCACTCTGTGTTGCGTTTTCTTTTTTCGTCGGTTGATATCGCCATACTAACCGGTAGCTTCCCGATGATCCCAGATCTGGGGATTCGAGAGAATCGAGGGTGTCAGACGGTACACCCGTCGCGTCGTGGTCGCCAAGGGTGGCGAGGTCCAGAAAGTCCGGCTGGTCTATACCTTCATGAACCGCAGTACCGAGTAAATTCAAATATATATATATATATATATATATATATATGCATATTTATAATAAACTAAAAAATAAATAAAAAA